TATGCAAAATTCAAATTTTTTGGCAATAAATTAATATGTTTTGGTGTCTGGAAAATGAGTCATTTCAAAAACCTTCAGAATGTAACGTCACAAATCAGCAGGCACTGATCCTCAACTAGCAATCCCAACGAAGCCCTTCCTGTTACCTAGCAACCTCAGTGAAGCCCAGCCCATCAAAGACCATGAAGACCTTTGGTCACCTGGCTGTACAATGGCTGCTGGAACAGATATGTGTTTTGTCGTTGGCTTATCAACCATAAACCATTTCCTGAATTCTTGTTGACTGTGAAGGAGGCTCCAGTTCTGCTTTTCAAAGATGTACAGTGTATAATTGCACATCTGTTTGCAGCTATTTTCAGGCATGTGTGTGAACGTTGAGTTTGGAGTGTGACCAGCGGCAGCTTATTTAGATTTAAAGTGACAAGAGGCCCTAAAACATATACACACTGAAAGGAGCTCAAAATAGGCTAAACTGAACAGGGTAAAATCTCATTATGTAAGAATGATTTAGTGCAAAAATGTAATGAGCATGTTTTGTACAATCCATAGGTGTGTCCTAATCTGTTCAAAGAAGCATAATAAGTCACCTTCAAACATGTGTTATTCGCAGTGGCCCTCCCCTATGACTGCTGTTTAACTCCCACTTTTGGACAGTCCAAACAATCCTTATCCAATCCCATCACTAGATTGCAGCACCTCAGACTTGAGCTTCAACTTCCATTTGAACCAGGTCCAAAATTATATTTCTTCTCTTTTCATGTCAGGAAAGCAGTACTGACCCATCAAAAGAAAACAGCTCCCCAGCTGTCACTCATATATTTTTTACAGTTGAATTTCCAGCAGATATGGAGAAGCCCCCCACTGTGAAGCCGAACCACAGATCCAGAACAATGCCACGGAAGAAGGAAGGGGAGAGTGGAGCCCCAGTGCGTGAAAGACGACATCATCAGAAACTGCCAAAGGCAGGTCACCACGCTGGATCTCCATCTGTCAAGAAGGAGAAAAGGGAGATGGAGAAGTCAGAGACAAACCAGGAGAAGGTGGATGTGGAGAAAGAGGCAGAGGTTAAGCTGAAATCTACTGTGGTGGACATAGACAGTGTTAGAGAAAACAAAGTCCAGGAGGAGAACCTGTGGCTGCTGGAAGCAGCGGAGCAGGACGGTGAGTTAATGCACAGGAATATAATTGTTTGTTTTCCTTTTAGCATTTTTATGTTAGCTTTTGTATAGGCGATTGAGTTCTGAAATCTTAAGTCAAGATTTTATTGCAGCATATGTTTGTCTTTCTGCAAATTGTGGTTGAACAGAGCGCTATCCATTTCTGCAGGTCTAAAGCGCAAGAGCCTGGGAGTGTTTGAGTGGCTGCTGATGGTGTTTGCATTGAGTTTGGTTCTCCTCTTCCTTCCTATTTCCATCTGGTTCTGTGTCAAAGTATGAGCTACAACTCCAAGAAACACATCAGTGGATGGAAAGAACATGCATGCATTTTTGATGGTTGTGTGAACCTATATACGTCAAGCTTGCCTTGTACCAATAACTACATATCAACTACTTTTCTACATAAAGCTTAGTAGTCATCCAATCTAAGCTGAATCTCAGATTCAAACTCATCTATGCAGTTAAAAAAAAACTAAACTGTAAAAACACAAAATTTTAAGTATTTGTGGTCTAGTTTCTAGTACAAACAGTGTTGAGTTGAGAGCTGTTATCTTGATTCCCAGGTAGTCCGAGAACATGAGAGAGCTGTGATTTTCAGACTTGGTCATCTATTGCGAGGGAAACCAAAGGGACCAGGTAGGCACAAATCATTTTAATTCATCCCTCTTCATGCTGTAATATAAATGAACAAATCAGATTTTTATGTTTTAATAATTATGAAAACCCAAATTCTTCAACAAAATGTGGATCAGAAGAGATGAAAGGCTATTTGATGTTGCTTTCACTAATACATATTGTATTTTTACTTATTTATTTCCCTTTCAACTTGTTATGGCCACAAACTTCAATGCATTTTGCTGGGATTTGGAATAAAAAAGCTGCATAATTGTGAAGTATGAAGAAAACGATTCATAGTGTTCACACTTTATGTCTCTACCAGTTTAACACAAGAAAATACAGAGCATCTCTGAACATAAATTTTAAAGAAGGGATGCATCTAAGACTTGCAGGAAAGTAGCTCTATAGGAATGGAGATTGGCACGCCTACTGCGACAGTGTTAGTTGCTTTTTTAATGTTTTTTTTAACCTTGCATATTGATTTGTTGCCCAAGAACTTCTGACTTCAGCTGTGTCCCCTATCATATAGTTGCAAACTGCAACTGGATGTCTTCTATAGCTTTCTTTTTGGCACTCTTAACGTACAAGCTGGAGCGGCTCTGGTGGCAGATTGTCCAACCCGAGGTGAGGGTCTCTGCAGCTCCTCCATAGTTACTGTAGGCATCCTGGTTGCTTTTCTGATTAAAGCGCTCCTCCCTGACCAAACAGTCTACCCTTAGACCACTAGAGGGAGATGTTGTAAAGGTAGAGAATAGAACACAGCAAATCAAAGAGGCAAACTGACAAACATACAGGTGCTGCACTCCTACCTTCACTCATGTAAGTTATATGTGTTATATTAATAAAAAAAATACTCTTACTCCCTGCTATGGCATCTATGCAGACACACTCCTCCCATTTGCGCTTTTCAGCCTCTTTGACACCCTCACAGAAGACTTCTTGTCAAACAGTTTTATTGTCATGAAAAATCAAAGCATCACCAATACAATTTTGTCCTATTTTTCTGATTTAACCATAATGACAATTCAAAACAAAACAAAAGTGGCAGAACTGAACAGGGACATTCCCATGTCCCATCCACCTCCCTTTTCCTATGACTTATGTCTTATCACATCTTATCTTATCAAATCAAACCTTCTTCAATTAGAGTTGTCAATATATTGTAGAACGGGTTGCCAAATGTTAATGAATTGTTTCAATTTGCATATGCATCACCCTTTTTAGATTGTTAAAAATGTCAACCTATTTCTTTTAATTTCATAACTATACACTACTTTTGCTGATGTATCAAGTAAAGTCCAAAATGTGTGTATTGAAGGTTTTGTCTATTGTGAGAAAATGTGGAATGAAAAACATGGATTCCTTTTCAAATCACTGTTATTGTCATTTCTTTGGTTATATATCAGAGTCTAATACTTTGTATTTGGTTTGAAAATATTATGTTTACACTCCTTGAGGATAAGTGTCTGGTGAGCAATAACAGCAATCAGCAGAAACAGCATAAAGCATGGTTTATCACACATTAGGGTCATAAATCATGCCACATATTTCTGAGAAATGTTCTATAACACTGATGTTTATGCTCAGGCCTCCTGTTCTATCTTCCACTTCTTGACGTCTGCCACAAAGTTGACATTCGGCTCCGGATGTTGAAGGTCCCTTCTCACATGGTACAACACGCTTGGCAGTCAGAAATAATCACACAAAAAGTAGCAATGAAACATCTGACTTTTTCCTACATCTTCCTGCAGGTGGTGACGAAGGACCTGGCGAGGCCAGAGCTGAGCGCTGTGTGTTATTACCAGATAGAGAATGTGGCTCTGTGCAGCGCAGCTCTGTCCAACCTGACCTCTGTGCTGCAGAGTCTGGTTCAGGCGGCCATCAGAGATGTTTTCGCCCAGCATACTTTCAGTCACATCCTGCAGTACAGGCGGAGGATCGGAGAGCAGATTCAGAAAACGCTGGACTCTGTCACTTGCCGCTGGGGAGTCAAGGTGGAAAGAACTGACATGTAAGGCTTATATTTGTTCATTAATTTCTGTAGTTTTCCACTACTGTTGACTTACTTGAAATGTACAGAAGAGAATTGAGCCAGAAAAAAAGATCCCTCATGGTCTGTTTGATTTTCATGTCAGAGAAGAGCTCAGTTTTCCCGTGGAGCTGCAGCAGAGTCTGGCTGCTGATGCCGAGGCCAAGAGACAACAGCAGTTCACTGTAAGGCATTTTAAAATCAGTTTCAGATACATTCTTTCTTCTTGATATTGTTTTATTTCATATATTTTAACAAACACAACAAAACTTATTTAGTATGTTTTATTAAGGTCCAGTTTGAAATAATTTCTGACTCCTCAGATGAAAGGGGACAAATACATTTCAGGTCTTTCTGGTTGTTAGCAGGTGAAGGCATCAGAAAGGGAGACAGCTGCCTGGGAAGGTTTTAGAGCCTCGTTCCGTCATCTCCAGCCTGCGTTGGTCCTTCCTCTCGCTCCAGATCTTCTCAACATGAACTCTGACCTGGCCTCCCTGCCACCGCCACCTCCTCTCTCTGAAGACGGAGGGGACGTGATGGCGGCATCAGAGAGAGACTCACCAATGATGTGACATAACGAACATTTAATTAATATTTTAGTTAAAATATTATGCTAAATGGGTGTAATTTAATCGGGTCAATATACTATTTAACATTTTAAATAAAAGCTGAATGCAGTAATTTTCAAGGTAAAAAAGACATATATATATATATATATATATACATATTACAGATAAATGTTTTTTGAAGGAATGGTCAGAAAAATAGAATAAAAATACTAATATTACAAGTATTCAAAAGGGCATTAAGAAATGCAATTTTAAAATATGTTTTTATCTATTTTTTAAAGACCTATGGTTGCAGAAGTTCTGATATCATCTGTGAAAAGATCTCCAATAAATTCCATTCTAAAATAAACTGGAAGCCAGTGTAGTTTCATCAAAATCAAAGTCACATGTGGAAATATCTATATTCACCAGAAAACAAACACCAGAACAGCTGCAGATTATTCTAGGTGCAAAAATTGCAGTTCTTAGAACCGTTCAAACTTTAACATTGTTTAAATTGCATTTATTTATATTCAGCTTATGCACAATTATATTATTTTTATTGACATTAAATATAAAGAAATATCAAAATATATTCATCATTTTAATTTCAATTTATGAAACAGCAAAGAGGAAGCAAACAGGAACTCCAAGAACATTTGCATAGACATTTATTAATACAGCAGGAAGAGAGACATTGAAGGGACAAAAGGTTGACAGATCCCACAGCAAGCAGATGCACAGCACACACAGTATCAGGAAGTGAGGTGTATCCTTGTACAATAATAAGGCGTTGAAAGAAAACCTCTCCATACTGTAAATGTATATTGCTTTTCTGGTTTCTTCAGTTTTTTTTTTTTTTTATGCATCACACTTTGAGAAGTTGTGGGTTGTTAAATGTAGCCATTAATATTTTTCTTCTTTGCCAAATACAGCACAAATAAATAAGACAGCCTCAAACATAAACACAGTCGCAACATGTTTTCTTCATGGTGTTGCTTTCTAGTTTGGCTTCAGCTGTGGATTATGTTTCAGAAGTTGGTTCTGCAGCTGGAGGTGGGGAACGAGGTGGTGTTTTCTTTTCCTCTGAAAAAATAAAAAAGACATTGTGAACTTTAATGCTCATGTCTGTTTTGTCCAGGAAGTAGCAAGGCTTTACCATCTTTGCTTGGAGGCTCAGGAGCAGGCTGTCTCTGGAGCAATCTCTCCAGGTCTTTAATCTTAATCAGCGCTTCAGTCAGAGCCTCCTCGGCTGCCCGAGCTCGGTTCTCAGCAATTATTGTTAGCTTCTCAGAGTCACTGAGAAAAAACATGAGACATTTCCAATTTTTGGCTGCACAACTTAGGAAAAAACCACTCTGAACAATAATCATAGGAATATTTCAAAACAGTCAAAAAGATACCAGCATTTCTTTGCACCACTTCTGATATACTTTTACCAAATATGTTTTACTTTGTAACATTTTCAGCACTTTAGAAGAAATGACTGATTTGTTATTGTTTAAAAGCAATTAGGCCACAGCTAATACAAATACAAGGCTGTGCAAAACCTTTTAATAGTCATATTCTTTAAATTAGAATATATGTTCAAATAAGGCTAATTTGTCAAATGGTTGTACAGGATTTTAATCAGGGGTATCACTGTAAAGAAAGTCAAATATATATGTAGGATACACATTTTTGTGTATTTCTTATAGAAAAAAAACTGTGTATCATTTCCACTCTAGCTAACAGTAATTATTATTTTGTATTGCTTTAACACATCATTTTCAACCGAATTCACTCAGTTTTGTGGTTGAAAGTTGAGCGTATACTTTTTCAAGACAATTTTAACTTTTATTTAATGATGTAGATGCTCAGACAAATCAAGCACAGAAAATGGAGACACATGTCCTACCTTAGTTCTTTCTGCAGCAGCACTACTGTTGTAAGATCAGAGAAAGCTTTTTGAGCTTCTTCTGTTACTGGACACATAACCAGCTCATTGCCCTGGTAGAAACATACAAACTGGGTTCAGTCAGACAGATGATTCAGTTCTGTAGAAAGGCAAATCTTTCTGCCAGTTGTTTAAAAAATCCATGTTTTAAATCATCTGACCCCAGGCAGCTGGACCATGTTGTCATCCTGATATACTTGAATGATGTTTCCATCATAGTCTATCAGCTTTACTGTTGGCCTCTGCAGGACGACAGCATTATTAATTTTACTATAATAATGAATACAAGAAATTCATATTTGTAAAAAATATTTCTTTTAACAAAAATATTTAATATTCTTGAATTCCTTCAGCATATTTTGCACTTTATTCTTTGATTACACAGATAATGTTCAAACCCACAAACACAAAGAATGAAGATAAAACAATTATTTTCTGATTTTTTTCTAAAATCTCTTGAGAGATTTTAAAAATAGAAATAAAGCCAACTGTTTAAAAACATGTATGGCATCATATTTTTTTTAATTTTTCATAGGAAACAACTAACTTCTGCAAAAGTAAAATAAAATAACCCAACACTAAGCATGAACAAGCATGACCTTAAAAAACTAAAAACTTATGATTTATTTGACTGACCTCTTGTTGTTCTGTTTCAGGTTCTTCAGTTGTCATCTAAAAAATAATCAAAGTAACACTTACTATCATATTTATTTACAAACATCTTTCATTGATCTAACAAATCAATGTAACAGATGAAATGTTTCTATGTGCGTGTGTGAGATCGTTCCTCCACAGAAGATCTTTGTGCTGCTGAAAACTCTGCACCTGTTTGCAATTAGCTGATTATCTGCAGTGGATTTAAGGAGCTGTGGTCTTTGGATTATCAGCCATTCTAGTTGAAGACATGTATTTGGTTTCCACAACAAGGTTTAATGCTGTCAAACCTCCTCTTATCAAATTGCCTTTGGATTCCTAACATTCTACTTTCACCACCATCTTTAATCATTGCCAGAGAACACAGAGTTCAAGCCTTCCCCTTGTTCTGCCTGTGTAAATACATTTCTCTGTGTAGTTCTGCATGTGGATCAAGAAAATGTGCCGAGGTTTTGGTGTCATCTGGCCCATCACTAATGTACAGATCAATTAAGCTAAAATTAATGTTAGCTTAATTTTATTCAAAGTTGTAGGTTTTTAAGGATTTTCTTTAAGAGGCATTCTTCCCAAGACATTTATAGTTCATATCACTAAGTTTTTTCTGGCTCAGTCCCATCTCTGGTTTTGTCAGCTTGCCTGGGCTCCTGTAAAGGACCTTCACTGGTCTGTAACACAAGTTAAACATTGTTAGACCTCCTCTTATCGAGTCTCCGTTAGATTCCTAACATTCCACTGTCATCCACTGCAGTTCTGTCAGCCATCTTTAATCATTCCTCCTCTCCCGCCAGATGCCAGAGAACCCAGAGTTCAAGCCTTCCCCTTGTTGTTCTGTCTAAATGCTAAATACATTTCTGTGTATAATTCTGCATGTGGGTCAAGAAAATACCTGGCAAAATGGCAGCGTATTAAAGGATGCACAGATCACCTGAGCTAAAATTAATTTTACTTTGTGGTCTGTTTCCTCTCCTCTAACAAAGTTACCAATTACTTTTAGCAGTTTTTCTGTTTTTATACAATCTGCAAAAGAAACAAACATGTTCTTTAGTAATGCATAACTATATATTCAAATAAATATAACTATATATTCAAATATATACAAATATATACTAAATAAATATTTAGAGGGAAGGACTTTCCCTCTAAATAGTTGTAAAATGCATTATTTACATGTGAGATGCTATTTCTTCATAGAGAGGTTAGGAGCAGATCCATCTTTTGTGTCCAGATTCAGAATTATAAACATGAAGAAGTAAAGATTTTTACATACCTAGCACATACTTGGTGAACAATGAAAACCAGTTAACTTCATTCATGATCATCATTTAGTCTAACTACACTGGGATGTCTTTATGATGGGTTGTCACCTGAGTCTCCATGCTTTCTGGTGGCTGAGGGCTGCTTGAAGTTTCTTCGGGTTGCTCGATGAGTTCCTCCTCAAATTGCTCATTAAGTCCTTTGAGCAGTATTTTTACACTTTCCAACCATTTATTACCATCTGTCTGAGGATAGAAATTAAGCTTGGTAAATAAATTGCTGTTTTTTCTGTCATATCAAAACCACATGTACTGAAAATTATAGACTAATTGTAACTCCTATTTAAGTAGCCTACTATTCTACAAAATTATCACCTTTTATGCTTGTTTTAATCCTGACAAATCTTTATTTTTGCAATAGAGGTATTTTGACATTTTTACTGAAAAGCCTAAACAAACTACTGCACAACTGCAGGCTTGTGCACTGGCTTTCTAAAACATCTTCAGAAAAGTTTAGGGCCACAGTCAAAGTTGGAAAGACACCGCAGTCTCATTTACCTGCAGCTTTTTAAGCTGTTTTCTCCTATCTCCCACCTCTGCAATATAAGGGTCCACCACCAACGACTGCTCCAAAATTAAACTGCATGATCTAGAATAGAAAAACAGCATTTTCAGTTGTATGAATCCATGAATTTTTTTTGATACAATACTTAATGCAACAACAGAAAGTGACAATTTTTGATACCTGGTAATAAATCTGGAATAATAGACCAATTTCTTAGAAAGCCTTTTTGCATCCTTAACTAAAGCTTGTCTTGAGTTTTCTAATTTGTCTTCACGTTTCAGATATTTATCTTCTTCCTCAGTCTGGTCAGGTAACATGTGAAGCAACAGATCCAACATCCAGTTTGTTTGACCTTTGTGAAGACAAGTCACCTGAAAGGGGAGGAGCCAATGAAACAAACATTTGCACCATTACAGTCAATGAAGGAAAGAGAGAAAACATTAGTTATTCATCCCTCTCATCCACACTGGGATAACGGCTGCTCACTGACAAAATATCAGTTGCAGTAATCAATTATTGTATAAAATGTGAGGACAACATTTTGGATCGATAATATGTTTAATGCAGTTATATTGTGATCTGCTTTTAGTGTTTGTTGTAAAATGCTTTATGGCATTAGTGGCCTTTATATTCACAGAAGTCAGACAGACTATAGACAGAGACACAAGGGAGAATGACAGCAGCACAGGTCAGGAATCAAACTCAGTACATTTTTTGAAATTAGGATTGTGACTTGAAATTCAGAAACCCTGGTCCAACACTCAAGATTCAATATGGCTGCCACACATAAAGTGTTGTGAAAGTTGCAGGTTTAAACTGCTCAATTGATGGACAGGATCTCATTACCTCAATGGCACCCAAAGTTCAGGTGGAGAAAAAAAATTGATTCAATAGAGGAACTCAAATCCTAGTCCTGGGAATTCTGAATCGAACCAAAATGCTCAAAAACCGAATTCAAGTCTGCTTAATAGTTTGTAAAATTATATTTTGGCTAATTCGTTGCTATTTTTTTCTTTCTTCTTTGATATTGCTAATATTTGTCAGTCTGGTCACCAAAAAAAAAAAATTCCTGACTACAAGCAGGACCATAAGTGTGATATTTTCCTGAAGAGCGCTTAAAACTCACCTCTTCTTGCAGTTTCTTGTTCTCAGTCTCAGTGAAGCTGAGCAGGCGTTTTGGGAGCTCCTGAGCCTCATCTATCAACTTTTCTGACCCTGAGCTTTTTGAACAGACACACACAACACAGAACTTTAAGCAATTTATAAATAGTATCTGAAGATGTTCCTGAATACAATCTAATGCAGCCCTGATTGCTGTAATAATTTATTGCAGTGAAACTGCATGGTAAATATGTACTCTTATTTTAGTTTACATAAATCTCTCTTGCTCTACTAATAAAAAACAGATCAGTCCGATTGTGATAATGAGAATTATGATAATGAAGCGGCTTTGCTTTTTGACCACAGGAAGATGCAATGAACACTTTTAAAAGGCTCTTGAAATATTGAGGCTTATCTAGAAAATATTATTCAAAGAGCCATTTTCTACTCAATTCACAATTTAAATTGTACATTAATAGATTCAATTTACAATTGAATATATAAAACACTTACTACAAGTCAGGGATTTCTTGGACCATTTTTGGGTCCGTTTGTTTTTCCTTTTGTGTGAAGGAGAAGTACAAAAATATCTCTGCAGACATGTTCTGGCAATTAGACAAAGCTTCTTCCAGTTTAGCCCAATCAGAGGGGCTCATCGCTGACAGAGGACATAACAGCTGCAGCACAACATGAGTTTCAGAAGCCCAGAAGTCCAGCAGTTTAAACAAGGATGCAAGGAGTTGGTGGATCGCTGCAGAAGGGATTATTTTCAGCTTTTTAATTCATTCCATATCTTAACAATTACCTTGCTAACATGAGATTCAATGAAGACTAACAGAGACAAAACAAAATTATTGTTATTGTGCATGTGTCAATAACAATACAAGTTTCATATCTGCTCTCACCACTGACTTGAGTGTCATACTGTTTGAGAAGTTTAATTAGGTCATTCTCCAGCTCTTTTATAGTCTTAAGGCTCAAGGCAGACTCAACATCAGGGAAAGTGTGTCTTTCAACAATATGAAAGCTTATTTTTATAAATTTATCCAGGGTGTGGTAGAGTTCACTCAGTCTCTTCTTAAATAAAATCTTTCTTTCACCTTGGCATTCCTCAGATGCAAGTGACAGCTTCTGCAAAAAAACAAAAAACAAAAAAAAAACAGTAAAGCCTCAGAAAAACAACAACTGCTATTTTCTGGACACATTGTTTTTCATATTTTGTCAAGCTACAACTACAAACTTCAATGTATTTTCTTGGGATTTTGCTTTTCAATCACAGGGAATGTAGAGCCACATACAAGACAATCTGGAAAGAAAACTTGTTAGACCCAACAAAAAACTTGAGAATGAGGTGAAGGTTCATCCTTCAGCACAACAAGAAGCCTACAGAGCTACAATTGAATGGCTGAAATCAGTTTTTTTGAGTTTATGCTCCAGGATATCCAGCACCATACTACACCAAAAATATTTGGTAAGATTCTGTATTTTTGTAAAGATAATCTCCCAAAAAACACCACAGAAGGAAAAGAAAATAAATATCCTCTCTTACATTTGACCACTTCCATAGGTCTTCATGGATTTCTGCCAGTGTTGTAACGTCATATTCTGGAACCTCATACCTAATAACATCCGATGAGAATCGCAAGAAAAATACGTATGAGTGTCAATAAAAGTGCAAAATAAGATTCAAACAGATGTTCAGAAAATTTGTTTTAAAAATTATTTCCTCACAGATTCTGTGTGCTGATGTAATAATGCCACTTTTTGACGTCTCCCTGTATGGAGGAGAGCTGTTCAAACTGAACAAGCTGAATCTTCTTCACAAAGAACATGAGGTCGATCAGCTGATCTCTCCACCTGTTGGTTAACTCCACTATGACATCCAGATCACATATATCCTACAGTAGGAGGAGTAGGACAGTCAAGCATCCACCTGTGGTGGTGAAAATAAGAGTGTGCTTTGACTTTCACCTGTGTGGAGATGTAGATGAGGCAGTCCTGTGCTGTCTTGAACCAGCCTTCCTCACTGACATACAGCTCACTCACAAGCCGGAGCTTCTTCACTTTAATCACCTGACAGAAAAGAAACCGTTTAACAAAACCTGAAACAAACATGGGTTAAACTGGCATGTTTAGAAGAAAAATGTGCTTTAATGCAAATCTAACATGTCACTAGGGCTGGACAACTAATCAATAACAGTACATATTCAGATTCACACATGATCAATATCAATAGACAATACGTCTGAGAGAATGTTCAATCATTTCACTGCAGTCCAATTCAGAACCACACAGCAGCTAAGCGAGGTTGGTGGCATCAACTAACTCATTCACTCTTTGGTTACCTAGCAACGAGCTGTTGAGTAACTTGTGGTTACCTAGCAACAACCTGCTGAGTAACTTGAGTTTCATGTTTCACCACCATTTCTCATAACTGCTTAAAAATAAACAAGAATGGTGTGGAGTGAAAACCGTGGACAAAACAGTAAAAAGTAACCAGTTTGACAGTTTTTCAGATATTTAACACCAAAAAACTAATTAATAATTATTGATATCGACTGATATGAAATCCTTATGTTGTGACACCTTTTTTCAGCCATATTGTCCAGTCCTACTTGTAAAATATTCCTAAAAATCTAATTCCTTTGTTTATTGTGCTACACAAAGAGATGAAATAAAGAACAATGTACGCAAAAAAAGAGAACAGCACAACAAAATGGCTTCTTGTACTTTGAGGGCGAGGTTGAAGGTGAACTGGCTCCAATAGTCTCTGTCTCCCGTCATCTTTAGCAGTTGATCCTCCAGACGAGTCCTGTGCAGCTCATACATACGGTGGTAACCCTGGACAACACTTAGAGAGGCACATTTATCATTTCAGAGGTAGCCTTTTTGTCAAGCGTATTTAAAAACTGTCCCATTTCACGTCCATCACAAGAAAAAAAAGGCAGAAGTTTGCTTTTACTTATACAATGTTTAAAAAAGCTATGATACAGCAACATAGACTGTGCCCAGATGCAAAAAACCAAATCAATTTAGAAGAATTAATTCTTATTTGTTCTACTTGATGAATGGTGATGTAGTTTGCCATTAATCACTGTTATAATTCTGCCAGACTGACTCTGAGCAGCTGAGAGTGTCTTTGTAGCTTTTGGCAAGTTCCTCCTGTGCGTGCTGCACCTTATCGGAAACAAAAGCATCATGGTCTCTGACTTTTGCTAGTTCCCTGAGAACAAAACACACAAAGAAAAGCATGAAAATGAGGAGACACACATCTCTCAGCTTCACCTATGTTTCAATGAAATATATTATTTAAAATTAGGGCATTTATTATCCCTTCTTAAACTAGTTGGTGCATCAAAATCTCCCTGAGACCACAATTAAATTGCTTGTTTTCTTTTACTACTCTGAGCCTGACCTACATACATGTTTATCTCCTGGATGGTTGTCTTGATGTGGTAAATTTCCTCAATGAGCCGACGGTCCAGAGCCCGCTGCGCTACCACCTCAGCGTGTAACGATGTCAGGCGCCGGGGGATTCGCTCCAGCAGAGACTGGTACCGCTGCCTGGAACAAAAAGAAATACATTCTGGATCAGCAGAGGAATATATATATGTATATATCTAACTTTAAGTAAGAAAAAAAAGTCAAAACTACTTTTCATTCTTACACTGGAAAAGAAACAAAACAACCTAACCTCTAGGCTTATTTAAAAATCCATAGTCTTTCAAAGAGTTTATGATTCTGCACATTCTAACAGAATTCCCACAGACTTTAAAGCGAAAGAACCCACAGCATCATGGATCCTCCACTATGTTTTAGCAGGAATATGAAGGAATTTTCCTTATGTTTCCAGATCCACCTGGAGTGTTTATTTAAGGAAAAACTCAAACTTACCAAATGCACTGTTCCAGATAATGCCAGACGAAAGTTCAGATAATTCTAAATTTATATGATTATCATATTAACACAGAAAAGGGTTTTTGCATCCAATCAGTCAGCATTCTTTTAATACTCCTACTGCCATAAGATATTGTTTTATGGCATTTCACAAGCATTTGTTCAAGTCTGTGTATTCACTGTTTGGTGTCAAAGCTCATAAGGTTAAATATGTTAGCTGCTGACCTGAGTTTGGCGAGGAGCTGTCCTCTCTCAGCACAGCCGACGGTCACCTGCCTGATCAGTTCATGGAAAACGATGTTGTAGATGTTCTGCTCTGTCTTCACCAGTTCCAACAAGCTTTCGAGCTGCGAAACAAGTCATAGACCTTAAAGTCTCAGAGCATTTTATTGGTATTGACAGAAATGATAAACACAGACATTCTACATTTGTATATTACATTGCAGATTAAGAAGGAGGCCATTTGTGTAATTGTTAAATATTCCTTAATGCTTGAACTATCTTTTAAAATTTGGTTGCACTTTCTACCCTCAGGCTCAAACATTTCCTCTCATTAAAGTGTAAAAAATATTTTTTCAGGTTTGTTTCTAAACTTTCAAAGCATCTGATCTCATAAGTTACCCGTCCCTAAACATAGTTACACTTTTTATTTTGTTTTTCTGTATAATGTCCACCCCGCCTCTCGCCCGAAACGTTAGCTGGCTGGCTGGCTGGCTGGCTGGCTGGCTGGCTGGCTGGCTGGCTGGATGGATGGATGGATGGATGGATGGATGGATGGATGGATGGATGGATGGATGGATGGATGGATGGATGGATGGATGGAAGGATGGATAATGTCCTCTTTTGGTCACCAAATCTCTTGTTTTCTCATCAACGAAAACTTTAAATCTGCGGTGTTATTCCACCTAAAAAACTGTTTTCTTTTTTATTTTGTCAGGTATTTGTAGTATAAAAATATATGTGAGTATTACATTACATAAAAAATAAAGACAAATCTGTTCCCAAGAGAGGAATGAAGGCATATGTAAATCACTGTACAATGAACTGAATAATAACATTTTAATATCAGAATAAAAAAATCTGCCTATATTTCATTCCTTAAGGTTGTCGATATGCTGAGAATCAAAAAAGAGAAATAAAAGCAAAATTTAAAAATGGGTCACAAACGACCCTTGAGTCAAAGTAGCTTATGTTGTTTTACTGACTGGATGCTGTTTGTGTATTTTCCCATTTTAATTATGCAAACTAAAGGTTTTTCTCTGTATTAAACAAAAATTACAACACAGCTTTCATGTCAGTTGCAGAGGTAGAAAACTAACTTGGCACAGATCAGTCAGCTCTTCGTCCTCCTGATCCACTCCGGCCTTTTCCAGCATGTCATCCATCATCCTCATCAGCTGGATCACTTCCAGCCTGCCACTGGGCCTCCTGCACACAGAACATTCCCACAAATACAGCATGTGTATTATTGCACACAGAGTTCTGTAATGCTTAACGGTCTGTTTTGCTGGTATGTTTCCTAAGAAAATTGCTTATTACATTAGAATAAAGTGTTACAAATTTTTCCTGTCAGTTTAATTTATATGTTTGCACTCACAGTGATGGGAGGACTCGTAACTTCTGCTCCTCATCTTTCAGCTGCACTGTGAATGCACTGTGAGGTACAATATGACATACATCAGGAAAAAGCTAGATCATCATACAGGAAGGGACTGCACCAAATACCTTTAAGGAAACTTACTCTTCATACAACTGGAGGCATCGTATTCCTTTGTTCTTCACAATACGATACTCTTCAGGGATCACATTTTGTTTGACATCCAAGTTCTTAGAGACACAGAATGGTGGCATTATGTGATTAGCTTGTCTTCTTACTCAAATTAATGGCAAAGGTTGCCCCAGGAATACTTAAATCCAAAACCAATTGTTTGAAATATGTGGTGACACACAGAAAAAATAGGTGAAAACCTTTAAAATGAGGAAGTGGATAAATATAAACAGTTAAAGTAAAACAAAACACATGAAAAATTGACATATAAAGTAAAAGTGGGAGAAAGAAAATTCCAAAGTGTGAAAAATACAGGAAACAAAAACATCTGATGAAAAAGAACAAAGTTTTAGATCAGTGTCAACTAGAAACTGAAACAATGTGCAATGTGGCATGTTGGAAATGTTCTGACTAAAATAATAAAGCATTTCTGTGACAGAAAATGGAAAAACTAGGTAGTGAAACTCAGTTTAAATTTCCAAAAACAAGACTGAGACAGAAAACTTGACCTTCAATGATATTCAAGTGTTTCAACTTAAAAAACATTTTCTCTGGGTACTCCAGCTTCCTTCCACACTCCAAAACCACAACTGTTAGCTTAAATATCAACTCAATTAGGTGTCTGTTTTTGATGCACAATGTATAATTTATGGTAATCTTTTAAGTGTAAGTTTTTGTTAGTGTGTTTTATTTATTTTCTAACGCTTGCAAAAGATGAACTAAATGGAATAGCGAGCTGCCCAATGTATACTCTGCCTCTCGTCCAATAGACACTTTAGAAAATGGATGATTTAAAAACATGGATATCATTTTACGGCAACAAATATTTTAAATCTTATTTTATCTGGGGCAGCAAAAAAGGCTCAACACAAACCACTACATTCCATTGGAGCTATTTCCAAGTTACTTTAGCAACATTTTCTCACATGTTTCTAAAATAACAACATGGGACACTCTCGTAATTAAACATTTAAAAATGTCAACCATCTGCTTACAGAGTACACTTTTCTCTGTACACTTTTCATTTTCAAGATAAGTTTTTTAAATTTTTGCAGCAACAAACTTTGGAGATAAAACAATACAAATTAACTAAAAAAGACTGCAGATTCACTATTATAATGATATAATTTATTACTGTTATTAATAAAGTCTTGTGACAATATTCTTCATTCTACAGCAGGGACAATTGTGTAAAATATAACACAATTTTATGTTTTGAAATGTCTCTCTCACACACACCCTACACACCTGACAGGTCTGAAAACAAAACACAAATTAAACATGTAAAAAAAAACAATATTACAACTTTTATTCCAATCACACAGATCAATAACTCATAGAGCAATTAACAAAAATAAATATTCCAAAATAAAATAAATAATGTTCTCGTTAAGTTTCCTGGTATTTAGCAGATATAAATAAACAAAAACAAGAAAAGGTTAGTCTGATTTAACTTCAGAGAGTGAGAAAAAAATGTCTGTCTTTATAGGTGTATAAAAATATGGTAAAAAAATTTAGGCTTTTAATCAAATGTTAGATTGCACTTTATTATGAAACTATGCAGTTTGAATATCAAGAGCTTTCAGGGACTTTACATGGAAATCAACTACTTTTAAAACACCTAGTTGTACAGACCCTGTAGTTTGTGTCTCCGTTGCAGCTCTTCTCATGCAGTGGTGGGAGAGCAGTCATCTTTTTCTGTGTAAGCACAGCATCGCACAGGAATGAAATATCCCTACAGAGGCACCACATACAGAGGAAACACATTTAGTGTACTATTTTAACAATTGCTGATTTTTAAAACTCATGTTAGCATTTGATGCAATGGTGGAGAACAAACAGTAATGATTAAAGGAAGCAAGAGGTTTCATTTTATTTATTATACAAAGAAGAAGCCAAAATTCAAAAGTGTTGCATTGAAAAACTAAATGTACCCGGTGATTCCACAGCTTGTAGCAAGATGAGTTAGTAAGTGGCTATTTTCCATTTGACTTTATCAGTCGCTCACATCTGTGTGAAGGAACTTTTGTTTTTTTATTCTTCATCAGTTGACCTTAAAACTTTGACATTACAATACTTTAGTACTCATCGTGATTGACTGAAAAGAACCTGTGGCTGCCAAAAACAAGCCCAAATCATCCATCCTCCACCACTATGACCAAACACAGTTGCTATAAGATGTATTTACTGTCATTAACTCACACTTGAGAGTAACTTATATAAACAGTTGTCACAGTTTCATCCCCCTAACTGACCTGCCGGCTTCTGTCAGCGATGTTGGCTGTTCCAGAAAGTATTTGTACTTGGTGCGTCCAAGCGGATAATGCCAAACTCCATCTGGCCGTCTTATTCCATCATTCTGCAGAAAAAAATGTGTCATTGCTATTTTATCAACCTATGCTCATATGTATTTGTATCAAGTCTTTTTATTTAAAAATTGCTAACATTTTAGCTTCCTGACAGATTTATTTAGAATTGACTTATTTTGTCGAACTTTTATACTTCAGCTCAAGATAACTTGAGTAAATACATAAAAAGGTTTTCAAATCAAGAGTTCCTTTATCAATGGCTATGAAACCCAACTGAGCCCAATGTGACTATGTATGTTAAATGGTGAATTCTGTATAATTACACAAATTCTCAGATCACACTCAGATCTGTTTCCTGCCTGACCTGTAGAATAATCTTAACTACATAGAGCCTTTCTGACAACATGAAATCATTTTTCTTAAAGCTCAAACTTATTTGGGTTATTTTGCAAGTCAATTATATGAAAAACACCAACAAGTCCATGTGTGAATATTTAAAGAATGCATTCAAAGTAAAGGCCTAAGCAGATCTGACTGCGCTTGAATTTGATTGAGATGTTGTAGTATGACTGAAATATGACTGAATCAGAACAGCTTGAATGGGGAGAAATTCATCCACTGTGAGATTAGCCTGGCAGCTTTTTTTTTCTTTTGACAAATAAAATTATTGTTTGTGAACTGCATTTGGATTCACTCAGTCCATATTTGTCTTTAATTAAAACTTGTTTAATAATGTGAAATTTTGAAGTGCAGCAACAAAAAAACAGAAATCTGTGTGAGGGAAAATACATATGGTTTTTACAGAATGTACAAAAATTATAAAGAGTAACTGAAATCAAACCCTAAATGGACAAATAATGAAAGGGTCCAGTAGGGGGCGCTGACATACTTTTTTTCCCCTCATTTTACATAAAGCAGACATAAATGTAAGAATTTTAAAGTAATCTTCTCAAGCCATTGCCAGATAATTTGAGTTGAATGTCAGCATCTTGATTCAGACTGACTGTCTTTATAAACTAAACAGTTATCGACTGAGAAGATTAAAGAAAACTGTACTTTAAGTGTGTATATATCACAACATATTGTGTAAAGAAGAAAGCGCAGCCAGTACTTCACAGCTTCGGTGATGTGCAGTGTGGCCCTGTGTGTTCTTGGAGACAGTGGATGTGAGGCTGAGCAGCAGTTCATCTGGGATGGCTGCTTGTTTGACAGGAAGTGGCCCCTTCCTGATCTCCAGAGCTGGAAGTTGGACTCTCAGGTCAGTCTCTAAGAAAAATCAAGCAAATACTCATTAAGACTCTGTATTTTTATTTATTATAACCATAAAAACAGCTTTGGTCAATATTTCTAAATGTTTTCTAAACATCTTCCAAATTTCTTATTTGGAATTTATCTGTCTTGTCATCATCAGTATGATTTTTGACCATTTTGAGAATGCTTTTTTGTTTTTGGGAAGCTCCCTTGTCTCAGGCTGGTGTTGTCCTAATGACAAGAAAACAGAAAAAACATGCAAACTATGCAGAAAAAACCTAGGCTGGGATTCGAACGTAGGATGTTCTTGTTGCAAGGTAACAGTGATGGAAGACAAATTTCTGGATTTTGTTTTTAACATTGTTGCACCTTCACAGGCTGTAGCACGAGGCAGAAAGACGTACAACCTATATCAAATACTTTCACAGATCAAAAGTATTGTCAGCACTGTTAAACTTTTAAGCCAAATGTTAGTTTGGGTGCTTAAAGCAGCACCTGAGTTTACTAATGTCTCGGTTAGAATATGGACTGGAGTCAAAAAATGGAAGACAAGGTCTACAGAAAAACTTTTTCCAGGCCACTTTAAATTATTATAAGTCTAGCTCATTTGAATTATAATGAAAATAAATTATTAGTGGTTTATTTACAGAGGTGGCTGTAATGAGCTACATTTACGCAGTTAGATTTATTCAAGTATTTCTAAGAGTAGTTTTGCACCATCTGATATTATTTTAAAGTGATACTATTATCTTAGTTGAGTCGGGAACAAGCATACTTTAACCAAAAAGGACAGCCACATAGTTTATTGGGAGGGGAAATTTCTTATGTTTATATAAACTGTTTATATTATATAAACTAAACTTGTAAGGGTCAGTTGACCCTGCCCATAAGCCTGTATTGAGTACAATCTTGTCATTGGACATAGTTTGATCTGTTTAAACATACACATGTTGTCTACTACGTAGGTGGTTTCAAATCCTTTGGGTTTCCTGTTTAAAAATACCAGAATTATTTTAGATTGTCAAATCAGTTAATCATCCAACAATATACGTCTCCTTACTTGAGTAATGTTCTGATGACACAATTTTATTTGTTCTTCAGTAATAGTATTTTGAGGTAACACTACTTTTCCTTGTGTACACCTGTTTGTTTTGCATCGAAACTATTTATATAGTACGGTTGTACTATATAAATGAACGCACTGGATTGGTTTTTAGCCATTTCAAAGAGACGTTTACTAAACTACTAATTGTGCATGGCTACATATAACGTTTTGTTTGTAACTTTCTGAGCAGCATTGGCACGTAGAAAGCCTCCAGCAGCGGATGGATGTGAATAATTTACCGTCTGCTTGCTCTCCCCTGGGTGAGCTTGGCGCTGGACTGGCTCTGGCCGTGGACAACGACATCTTTACCAAACGAGGCTGTTACAGTCAGAGGATAGAGCCTTTCAACTTTCACCAAGCCATGAAGGCGAGAAGCTAATGTAGGTTATCTTAAACAACATTCTTTATAAATTTACGAACGAATGCGCCTTTTCTTTCAGTATTCCGTTCTTCCTGATCGCGTTGTTATGGAAACGGCGTGCCTACCAGCTGCTCGTCTACTCAACATTTTACGTTCGCGTGTTAACTCCGTGGTGCATTCAAGTGAAGTCGTACAGTAGATTTCACATAATGAAAAAGATTCAAAATGATAAAAGCATCAAATATCACCAGATTCTTTCCAAAACGTTGGCGACATAATATATTTGACTATCTTTGATTCAAACGAATTCAAATAATGTATTTTAGAAAATGTCAATTCAACCTTTATCAACACATTTTTTCCTTATGATAAAGGAAGAAAGGTGAATATATTCACAGTATATTCGTTTATTTTTTGTCTACTTCTGGTTAAGCGTTTATGTCCGTGTAATTAATTGGGAACCACACTGTTCAACAATGTATGTTTTCTTGACAACGATTATAAAATTGGCTTAATAACATATTAGACTTGAACTTTTTTATTGCTTAGTTATTTTTCACGAGACGCGTTGATCAGCTATCCCTCCTCTGGCCCGTTTAATTAGACGTTTTTAAACTGGAAGAGTGGGTTCATATTTTTGGTCTTTAATTATTTTTTTCTTCAGCTTCTGTTTGTAAAAAACATGCATGAAAAAAATTCCTATGCAAGGTAGGTTTTGAAGATAACGCGCATGCGCCTACATTACACCGGAAAATGTTTAATAAAACTCCAGAGTAATTCATCTTTGACACAACACACGATCTTCGCTGCAACTTATCGGACACAAAATAAACAACTCCACAAACCTTCAAATAAGTAAGTTGACAACTCTCTAAACGGCTACCTATGGTTTTGTTAGAGTTACATCTGCGAGCAGATAAAGATGGAGACTTGTTTCCTTTCTTCGCTCTCGGGTGTTTTTCCTCCGGAGCCGGGCGGGGTGTTCCTGAAAAAGCTCAGTGGTCCAACTGTTTTGGACTTCGAGCTGGTAGCGTTAGCCAAAGTTAGCTCTAGCTCCCAGCTGTAGCCTAGCACACGTATCCAGGTACTTCCTGTCTAGCCCGCAATCACCTGTCTTGACATTCCCGAGTAAGCGAACAGGCTTGTGGAAGCTATTGTAAGAAACGTGAGAAAAAACAACTGATACATTTATGATGAGTTAGCTTGCTCCTTGCTAATTATTTCTCGGTGTTTGTGGTTTCTGCGTTCACTTAGCTGCTGCAAAAGCAATCTGTCCGCCTCTCATTGTAATGATTTGCAAGGCAGCACTTTGTCAAAGCTGTCCTGCTTCCTACATGCTTATCACGGTACAGTTTACAGATAAAACATAGCAAATGAGGGTAACCAGCTGGTGTTACCATGGCACTCTTTGCCCCATCCAGGCCTGTAGACATAAACAAAAGCAGTTTACTGCAGTAGTTTACCCTCCTAGGACCCTAACAACAGCGTTGTCATGTCAGACTCACAGCATCATCAGCTGTCTGTGATGCATTTGTTTAAATGACACTTGATGGACCTCCTTCACGAAATACTTTTAGTGTAGAAATGGTTTCCTGAAGGTGTGGTTGATTTCAGTTTCACAGTTGACAAGTTCAAAGGGTATGGAGACATGTTGGTGCTATACTATAGATAGATATAAACACCTTCTTTTCATTCTTCCTCTCTCCCCCAGGCATACATGTGTGAAAAGTATTTTAAAATAAACTTGAAATGAGTTAACCGGCCCTGAGATGCAACAGTTTAGGACAAAGAAAAACAAAATTTAAAGAAGACAACAGCAAAATAAGCTGTTTTCAATTCATAATAAGCAATTATATTTTTCATATAGTTACAGATTATACCTATGGCACTAGTTTTTACATTTTTCCTTCAATTTAATACTTTAAATTATGTTTTAGCAGATCATTGACTAGGAGAAACACTGATAACTGAAAATTAGAATGTAGAAAATTATTTTGAATGCAACGTAACCAATGCATTGAGTCCTATCCAAAAAATAGCATTGATTGTTTTTTTTCCTTGTGGACTTCACAGGAAATGATTCAGTATCAGGGTATTGATAGAAACATTTGCTTAAGATGAAATTTCAAAGCTTATCTTAGCCTGGGAGGGAAAGGAAACCTAAACTAAGCATTACTGAAATCAGTGTTACAACTGGCTGTAGGTAATGTGTTTTTCTTGCTTCAAACAACATGTCTGCTTTTATTTGAACAATTTTATTGTCACTTTTTGTAAATAGTTTGGTTTTTAATGCACAAATACATATGCAGAATTTATAATTTTTTAATTGGCACATTCCTTTGGATATTTTTAGTATTTTACATTGTAATTTTGCCCTTTTTTATGCATTACATTCTTATCTTTGTGTGAATCTACATGCATTGCTTGCCTGTCAGTTTGTTGCAGTTTATTTGTTCAAGAGCCCAATCAGCTGCAGTAAAACTACTACTATTCTTACCGTGGCCCAACAGAATTATAAGAAAAAAGTTGCACATTTACCTTGAACAAAACAAAAATCAGGGAGATCTATATACTTTCCCTTTACACTTCCTATTGCAATTATTCGTTCTACATTCTGTAAAATTATGCATATCACTTTGCTGCTATTACAATTAAATTACCAAGAGATATTTATATTCTAGCCTATTCTATTTTTATTTTCTACCCTATTTTTATTTCTGTTTTTATATTATTTAATGTCCCTCAGTGGGGAAATTCATGTGTACCAGTAGCAAAAGGGAAGAAAGGGAAATCACAGAAAGGTAAACGTATAAAATCCAAAATGGTTTGCTTTTAAAAATAACAAATTTCACTTTCTGTGCAAATGCTTTCTGCACATTTTTATTTTTTATTTTTTTGAAAAGGGGATGTTGAAGTTCTTAGGTTAGGTTCACAGGGGGCCACCGAAATGATTTAGCAAGAGAAGTTGCTGTTATCTATCTGTCCAAAATGCTGGCTGCATCATTCACAGCTATATGAGAGGCCATGTGCATTGCATCACCTTTCAGTAGTTTGGCAAAAGCAAAGATTTCCCTCATCTCTCATTCTTCAAGTGAACTGTAAGTGCTACATAATGCATCATACAGCATGAGGGGACGTTCAGCAAAACAGAAAGACCCAGACAAACAAAACCTTGGTGAAAACACTGATTCAGTTACAATTAATGTTTATTATTATTTCGATTTACCCCCACCGAAGGCTTCACTTGAGCTGTCCAGCTGTTTCTTCTGTTGCTGGGAATTCCACATCTGTTCTTTAAACTACTGATCAGCTCTGCTTCATGTGTTGTGCCATTGTCAAACACACAACCTCTTCCTGGTTTCACACAGGCTGTGGCTGGTAGCACGTTAGCCAGCCTACCAGTCCTGAACTGGAGACAGACCAGTAATGACAGGGTGCCAGTTTGCTGCTCTTTTGTGACCACAAGGGATGAGACTGTTTGTGTCATTTTGGAGTAGAATCAGTTAATATTAACATGTCTGCAAAGTCTGGTGAGCTGTTGATGTTATATGCATGCAAAGCAAAATATTTATTTTATTATAATGTAATTACCTTTGTAAAAGTTGATTATATGCATGTTTAATTTTGATGAACGGAGTGTTTTACTATAACTGTGTGACTCGAGTTTGTGTAGCACAATGGGATGTGGTTTATGTGCACTGTCATCTGGTTACTTAAATGAACAGTGTAGCAGGAGGAGCCTATTTAACACATTGGTGAGACCTTTAGCAGACTAAAGGTGAAAGAAATGTTTACCATGTCAGGATAAATATAATCAACAAATAAACATCAACAGCACAAACACAACATTCAGGACTCTGTATAAGGGAAAGATAATCAAATCATTTAGTCAAATGGATCTCTTATCTGGACTGTTATGCAGAAACTTGTAAAAGTTAATAGGCAGATTGTTCTTGTCTTTTTTTTTTTTTTGCGAGTGTAATGGATTACGTGTGAATTGAGCACATGACTTATTTTGCCTCCTGCATTTTAGCCTCTGCAGATGGCTGGAGGATAATTTGCCTAGTCTTAACTGTATGAATGCCTTCTGTGTGCATCCAATCATGGCGTTATCTGTGACTGAATGGCTCCTTCCTGCATTCCCTCTCGTCAGTTTCTATTTGTATGCCTGAAACCTAAAGTTTCAGATTATCTTTTAAAGATAGATTCCTGCAAAAGCACCAGTGAGTGTAGTTTTGAATGAATAAATGTACAAAGTATAAGTCACAGTTGTGATTGGTTACAGATATGATTATTGTCTTCATGTTTCTGGTCTTCATGTTATTACAGTTGTTTTGATCTACATTTGTTTTCTCATTAGGTTGTTATTAATATTAAATGCCCAACATAACCTGCTGCTTGTATTTTTCTGGCTTTTTTTTTTTGCCAGAGCATTTTTCGCATTTTTCTTTTCCAATAAAATAGTCAGGCCATTGTAAGAAGTGATTATTAATTTTTTGACTGTTGCTATTCTAATGCTTTATTTGAACAGCATTTCAAAGATGTTGCAGCACTTATAGAAATGTAACAATTTAATTTCACATTCCAGCAGCCATTCATTAACTACTGTTTCATAAAGGCGTGTTTGTGGCTTAGCCAGCCGTTTTCTAATGTGTACAGGTTGTATTAAAGATACTTAGGCCCTGTCAACACTTGTTTTGTAATGTGTGCTAACAGAGATACCACAAATAAATGTCCATTAATGTTTAAAATAAACTAAGGTACTTTTTAGATTACCGTTTTTAGGAAAGCTGGTATTAATGTTATTTCTGTACATGCCCACTTAATTTTGAATGTATTTATGTTTGAAAAATAATTTATTGTTTACAAGAGTGCAAATTAAGTTAGTTAAATATGCAATCTAATTGTAATAAATCTGAAAACTAATTCCCATCAATTAATTCAAAGTGAAACTCATCCAGTACATTGATTACACACAAAGCAACATATTTTCAAACTTATTTTATTAGGCTTACAGCTAATCCTAGTAGTTAATTGAAAAAATTTAAATATGACATTTGTAGATCTAAAAGGGAATCTATAGTAAT